ACACACATCCTTGCTCCGAAAGCTTTGCAGTTTGGTCTTGTGGGCAAGGATCACAGAGAGAAGGAAAAAGGTCTCCCAAAGTTATTTCAGCTTATCCGTTCCTGGGTCATTGCAGATCCCTGAGAGTATTGGCTTCGGAGGAGGCTGATAGTGTAATGGAGCCGTGCTTGCCTTGGAGGCTCGACGCAGCCCAGCCCAGTAGCTCTGTAACTGGGCTTCCCGGGAGGGGATTTCTTGCAGGAGGGAAGTCCCAGAGCGCTCTTCCACGTTGTGGCTCCCCTGACCCTTGCCTCTGAGCAGCTTCGTATGGGGAAGCTATCAGTGAGCGTGTGGATGGTAAAAACTCTACTAGCACATATCTCATTCTTAATCTGCAGCACTCCCTACGTTACCATCATCAACCTGCTCCGATTCAGCAAAGCACTCGTGCCTGGCTCTGTTTGGAGCAATGTACAAGTGTGTGTGAAGTATTATGGTGCACAAGAGCCTCTTTCTCAGGCTTCACGGCTTTGGAAAGCTGTGCTCTGCTCCCCTGGCGGTCCCAGGCAAACCAGAAGGAGCGGGCCGTGTGGTTTGAACAGATGCAGCAGGCTTTCAGGGGTCAGATTTGTTCCTTGGGGTGGGAGGGAGGGAAGGAAGGGGTGGTTTACTGAGGTGGGTCTTTCTCTTTTCTTCCTCTCTTCTGCTCCTCTCCCCCCCTCCCTGCACACCTCAATAGAGAGCCTTCCTCTTAACTCAATGAAAGTAGGGCAGAGTCTAACCACATTTCAAGCCGTCTGCATTTTTGGATTCTGAGTAATTGTGATCTCTATCTGTTCCTAGAAAAGATTTAAACAACTTATAAACCACAGCTGGGCAGAGATAATAAAGGAAACAGTAGTGGGGTGGAGAAGGATCTCCCCAGCGGGTGAAGAACAGGGAGGGAGGGGTGTGGGGGACAAGTTGGAGGCCCAGCTGCAGCACGGGGGTCTCCATGTGGCTACTGGGGCTAAGGGGAACCGAGGGGGCTGCCTTAATGAAACCAAAGCTGCAGCAAATACTAGTAGCTATGCTATGTATAAAATGTGTGTGTATACAATACATATATACACATATACATATATATACACACACACATACATATATACATACACACACACACACACACACACACACACACACACACACACGCATATATATAGAGAGCAAGTGTGAGCGCTCTATGGAGATATAAGCCATGGGAGAAGGGGTTTGAACCCCCACCTTGGTATTTGCATAGTCCAATCTCCATGCACTTGTTCACCCCAAATTATTTCTCTGTGCAGGCAGGACACATTTCCTCTCGCACTCTAGTGCTCACATTTCCTGTTTCTCATCACTGTTGGATCTACAGCTAACACGGCACGGTTTTTAAAGCCGGAGAGACCTGCTTCACTGGAGGGGTTCAAGCTTGTTTAGGGTTTATTCTCACTCTCCAGGCCCACAGGGAAGTTCAGCAAATCCTTCCCCAGGCCTTCCCTCTGCCCCTCGCTAGCCTCAGCTGCTTGCGGTGCGTTCAGCACGCTGCACAGTCGTTAGGACAACCTGGCTGCTATCACCAGCGCCCTGCACCTTCCTCCTCAGCTGGACTCGGTGCATAGGAAATATACATCTTCCTGTATGCGCCTGCAGGGCCGGTTAGGAAAAGGCTTTGTGACTGATGATGCTTTTATAGTTTCAAGCTGTATTCTCATTGTCCTTCTCTAACCGCAGGCAGAAAGCTTGACAAAAAAGTAAAACTTGGTGATGATCCTCTTGCGTTAGGTCAGAACTACAGATCTTTGTCCTATAGGCCTCTCAGCTAGGGTTATAGATGAGGGGCAGGAAACTGGAGGGGTAGGGGGGGAGAGAGAATGAAATGCATTTCTATATTGGCAAAAATCCTAGCAAAGAGACAATTCTTCCAGCAAAGTGCTTTTGCCAGGATGGTTTATTTAGTTTGGATAGCCAGAATAGGATCTGGTGGCTAAAGGATGTTTTTCCACCCTAGGAGAGTTTGCTAGAACAGCTGCATCAGCCTGTATATTCTCTACAGTTCACAATAAAAGCAAAGTTGAGGAATTAATAGGGAAAAAAAAGGCCTATTCAGTTGCCAATGAGATGCTTAGCTACCTAATCCCTTCCCAGCCTTCCTCCCAGGAGTCAACAGAGGCCCAGCGTACATGAGAAAAGCAGTGTTGGTCTGCGACGGGGGGCGGTTGTGCGCGTGCCTTCAGCGGGGACCATGCTGGTTCAAGAGGTGGCTATTGCTGTGCTGCAGGTCATGCCCAACCCGCACCCTTAGCTAGGAAGTTGCTGTAGGTTGTAAGGCCAATGATAAGGTCCCAGGAAAGAAAAAAGCAGGAAAGACATTGACAGAAAGAAAAGTGAGGTGAGGAGCTGGGGGGGGGGGCCAATGC